ACCCCAAACATTCCATTGAGCAACGGGCCTTGATCAGTGCAAAAAACGTCCTCCTCGGGGATAAAAACACACACCCTGGAGGCTACCAGCCCTTGGCACACTGCCGGCCAGTCTTCGTCGGAAACCATGGCCCTGGGCCTGGGTACACTTCCCCATTCGGCAGACGGTTTGAGGTACCTCTCAAAATGGAGTACATAGTCACGACACCCGTGACTACAAACCTCCGCAAGTGGGACAACACCCACCTCCTTCGGAAGCGCCGGGCCAATACTACTCCAAGTGAACCACTGGGCCACCTTGACTTCATCACCTTTATAGTCAATGGATCGAACCGAGAAAAACTCTGACCAGTTCACACCAGAGACAGCTTCCTTCAGATGTACCACTCTCTTGACATCCTTCAGGATCTCGCCCATACAAGCACGCTGGGCATCATTCAGTTCATCTTCACTGGTCAAATCGCTTCCCCAAAACGAGTTCAAACTAACACAAACACACAAACACGAGAAAACTTCAAACTCAGTCAACCCTGGGTCAAAAACCAGCAAACGTTCCCTAGAGGTGGGCAGCGGAAATATCCCTCCTTTGCTTCCTCTGCCCGTGGTCTGGCTGCGGAGTGACAAAACCTCTAGGAGATACTGAAACAAATCACAACCACACCAACCCAGGGGTAAACCATCAACGCAAGTATTCCCAAAAACCTTTTTTCCTCCATGGCACTCGAGCGGCTGATGGTCGCCAGAAACGAAGTGGCCTGTGCCAAGGTCATTTGACCCTGTCGCCACTGCGATGGGCTCCGCCGCCACAGGCGATGATTGCTCCGAGGCTTTATAGGGCATCCCACCGGTCGCCAAGCCTCGAAGGGAGAGCTGCTTCAATTTCTCCGCCGGGGAGGCCACTGCCAATCCTCCCTCATACGGCGCATCCTCAATCTTTTCGCTCTCCACTGCGACCTCACAAGGCTCATCTGGCCTCGCACCAAAACCTTTGTTCAGGGCTATCTTCCCCGACATTGCTTCACTCCTCTCTTTCTCCCTGCTCAGCTGGCTTTTGGCGTGGAATCCTCTGGCTTCTTCCATTCTCCCTTCTTTCCTTGTCCTTTCCCTCCTTTTTTGCCATCTGCTCCACGCCTGTAGTCCTCTTTTCCACTGCCCTTTTTTCCTCCCCCCTTCTGCGATCCTAGGGGTCTGCCTTCGGGCAAAGAGGACATCCATCTTGTTTTGGACTCCTCGAACGCTATGCGCTGTGCTTCCCGCATCTCTGCTGCATCCGTGAGACTTGATTGCTCGCTTGGCAATAGCTCCAACTTTTGGGCTACCGACCAGTGGGTCCCGGATAGCGTTGATTCTGCACTCTTCACCCTCTGCAGCAGCAAGTCGAGGCATTGTGCCGCCTTCCCTCGCGCTAAGAGGTCGGAGGCAGCGCAAAGTGTGAGGAGCTCCCGACTCATCGGACCACTTGATTTCTTTTGCAATACCTGACGGTAGTATTGAACTGCAACCACTGGGAGAGTATTCACGCCTTCGGCCTCTCCCAGGGTCTGGAGGAGGTTCGCTCGCATCTGTCCCAGGGCTTGATTTGCCAGAACGCCTGGGTAGGCGTCGGCAATCCCCCGCACGCGAGCTGCTTGCTGGAAGATCGTCTCCGACTCCTCTTCCAACCGGGCTCCTGGTGAGCTGCCGCTCGTGCTGTCTGAGTCGCTGCTGGCTTTCTTTCCCTTTTTCTTCACATACCTCTTTGCCAACCGTAGCGCACGGCTCCTCACTTTGTCCAAGGGATCTAGCCCCGTACCTGCGAACAACGCTTTTGGCTTTTTCTGGGATGCCTGTCTGGCCTTCGTCCCGTCCAGGGCTGCTACCCCGGAGACGGAGTCCCCGCTGGTGGAGCTCTTCTTTCTTTCTTTTTCTTTCTTTTTCTTTTTCTCCTTCTTTTCCTTCTTGCCCTTCTCTTTCTTCGGCTCGGCTCCAGTGCGGGGCGCGTCGGCTGATTGCGCCTCTCCTCCATCTCCGTGCGGAGTCTTTCCAACTCGTCCGGCCCCTCGAGGCCGGCAACCTTCTCTAGATTGTTCACCCAGGGCTCCTCCCCGTCGGCCGGCCTCTGCTTTCGGATCCGCAGTCCATGGACTAGATCTTCCGCGGTCTCCTCGTGGTTGCAAGCCGGATTGCAAAGAAGAACCCTCAGTTCTAACCTCGGCTGGCCACTCTGAAGCTTGAGAATGCCCTCGTCTGTCGTTCCCGTGGGTTTCAGCCTCACTTCTACGTGATTCCCCGAATACAGGGTTCCGACCACGGCTCCTGCGACCTTGCAGGTCCTGTGGAAGTATCGCGCTTCCTCCACCACCAGACCTGTCTCGCCGCGGAGCCAATCGAGGCTCATATCTCCCCCTCGGACTGTATGGCCGGCATCCCAAGCCACCTTCTGAGGCTGAGCGCGGTCCACATCCGGCGGAACCCCGGCAGGGCGCCTCAGGGTCCTCCGACCCCGCACCAGGGCTACACCTCTTGCTTTGGCTTTCCCGACTCCTTTTGGCTTTGCTTTGGCTTTCACTCGCACTTTTGCCATAGGATGCACTTTCGCTTTTGGCGCCATGTCTACCTTGGGTGTCTCTTCCGGTTCTTCCAGTAATTGACTCCTCTGAGGTAATGGTTGTACCCCTTCCACCTGTCAGGGTTCCTGTGCCCCGAGCTTCCGCTTGACCGTCCGTAGTTTCTGCTGTCCCGATCTTCCTTCGGTGGTGAGCCTGCTGGCTCTGGAGGTGGTCGGCTCCCGGCAGGGATTGGACCGTCGTAGCTCCTCCGACCTGCTGACCCTCTAATGGGGATCTGTCTCAACTCGAACCGTCTCAATCTCGGGCCTAACTTGTCAGGTACCCCACTGCCAAAAGGCCCTGGCACACCAATCTCCACCAGGTCGCTAAGGGCTCCCGCGCAATTCCGCAAAGCGGTCAACACCGATCCTTCCTGGTACCGGCTTAACTTCCCACTTTGCAGCAGCCCGCCGATGCGTAGGTAGGTCTTGCAGCTAGAGCAAGTTGGAGCACCGTTGAAGCTATGGCAGTGGGGACAATCACCCATACATACAGTGACTTGAACCACAACACTAGGGAACACATATAACACATATGCATCTTAACCCCCGGGGTCGGGAATACATAGATAGAAGATCCCCACTATTCCTCACTACCTGAATTGATGACAATCCGACCCCAATACCGGCAGCTTACCCGAGTTTTGACAATGGCACACATGGCTATCTGCTAACATGAAAACCTCCCCTGGAACACAGTTTGGCATCTTCTGGCTATGTCGCATGCGCAGTGCAAAGCGTTCCCTCTGTTGCAACAACGTTCTCAGTTCTCAGCTGTTTGACTTGCGGCTTACAGAATAGCACATGCATACAGCTTTGGACAGTGCCAAATACAAGACAGCGTTCCAGGAGCTCGTCAACCAACAAGTAAAGAGAATAAGTGGAATAAACCCAAGGGTATCCGGTACCGGCAGAGTGTAACCAAGACCAAAGGTTTGATGCCCCCGGGAAAAAGGTAACCTCCTTGCCTAATAAAAAGCTTGTTAGCTTCAGGAACGTCAAACATGAGCCTGCCACGCGCCCCTTACGCTAAGTACTTACTGAAAGCCCTTCAGAAGGCCAAAATGTGCAAATGTGTACCACGTGTGTACCACATTGTACCACTAGTTCCTGTCATGGACTGGACACTCGGGATCCTTTCGATGACTAGTGTGCCAAGATGTCCCAGGTTCTGTCAATCCCACATGGATCAATATCCATGGCAAATACGCAAGTTTGAAAGACGACTATATTGCTTGCCTCGATGTTATCTTATCCAGTTTTGCATTCTTGAATGTTCAGGAAGCGTGCCTTGCTGGAATTGTTACTTGCAAATCTTAGAATCAGACTTCACCTAGCCCTCGAGGTATCGTGAATCCAAATGACACGCTGTGATATTGCAAACAGGGCACTGCATTGATTCTCATCACCTTAGCTTGTTCCAGGTACTAACAATCAGTTGCCTCGAAACAATTCGATTACAAATGGATGTCACACGATGTCACCCTTGCTCAGAATGATGAAGAGGTTTTCCAAGGGACATCCACAGGTCGGCTTGCAAATCAAAGCAAGCTTCCTGCAGTTCTGGCAGTTCTGGCAGTATGAAACTTTTGGCCTTTCCAAATTTCCACAAGCGAACAAAATGACACCGTCCTGTGGATCCGACCTTCATTCAGGGAGCACTACCGTGTTGGAGTGCTTGAGCATGGGCGGCGGAAGACTAATTCTGCCGATCTTACAAAAGCTTATAGGCTACTTATAGGGATGCAAATTCCAAGCATCTAAGCATTAAGAATCTTACAAACAAAAATGAGTCATAATGAGTCTCAGTATGGAATCCAAAAACACAAAGTTGTTCAAGGATGCGAAGTAATTTGATAGCGATTGCTATGAAGTCAGAGAATCGAGTGCCAAGACAAATCTAAGCCAATCCGCTGCTGTTTTTGGTCGATTTCAGGTCGTCATAAGCCATCAGCTGCAATCAGCTGTATTCTATAAAACGCATACGTGCCTAATGGTTTGGTATTTTTTATATTTTCTTATGACTTATGATTCTTATATAACTTATATATTCTGAATTATATTCTTATGATGATCTTATGATGATCTTATGATGATCTTAGTCAAGGTCTTGGCTGTGACGTCCAAACCATTCGGTCTCTGACTGGCACATTCCGTAGGTAGGAAAGAAGCCGCAGAGTAAGTACCGTCGAGTGACCGCCTAGTCCCTAAGGACCAGACCAAGAGTGTAAGAAGCTGATCATCGCAGGACGGTGGGGATGCTTTTGTTGATGTGCTCTGGGATTTGGATTGCACCAGTTTCTGTTTAAATGAAGGGAATGGCGGGGTTTAGACGTGTCAAGAAATATCTCTTCAGCTTGCGTTTGTTTGATCCTGAGCCCTTCTTTCTTCTGGTCAGCGTCAGCCCTGTCACTTCAAGCTTCCATAGGGATTCCTGCCTTGGTTGACCACCAGGAGGGACGGCAAAGCTGCCAAAGCAGTAGACAAATATGGATACAAGTTGTTCAAGCACAAGCCAGTCGGATAGTTCTTTCATTTGTTGCCTTGTAAACAAACTTGCAATGTGGTAGTTTCCAAGGCATGCTTCAATAGGCTCCTTGACCCTCCTTGACGCTCCTTGACCCTCCTTGACAAAGCTTGACCCTCCTTGACCCTCCTTGACCCTCCTTGACCCTCCTTGACCCTCCTTGACCCTCCCGCGCTCTCTGGCCTTTTCCCTCTCAATGTTCTCATAGTACATCAGAAACTTTTCAATGGGCCCAAATTTGCTTCGGTTCCAGCCATCCTCAGTGTCCAATCATGACTTGCTTTCATCATTTGGTCAAAGTCGCTTTTGGCCCTAAATGTGGTACCAGACTTCTAAACGGACTGTGACACATCAACGACAGCAAGCCAGACCAGACTAAACCCAGGCTGCTCAATGAGTCCAACCATAGTCCAACTGAGATCTCGTACTTCTGTTTTTGCCATTAGCTTGTGATTGATGATGTTGAGCTCCAGAATCGTCTCTCCGAATCGGTAGAAACCACGATTGATCCTGTACTTCAAAAACACCTCCTTTGTGAGAAAGTTTGCTGCATTGCACGGCTTCCACGGCTATTTGTCATTTCGGGTGTCCTTTGAAAAGGAATGGCTGAACCTGTCCCATTGTAGAACTCCTCCAAGCGAAGGTCAATTGGATCCTCCTGCAAAAGGTGGCTACAGGTGGCATGTTAGACTACACTCCGACCAAGATCTTCCTCTGTGTTTCAACAGTTTCAGAATGCTTCATATCATTTCATATCCTGGTCCAAGGCTTCATAAGGCACCGACGGTTGAGATTGAGAAACTTTGCGGAATCCACCGCTCCCAACCTGCAAGACATACAATGAGGACCTGAAGGTCGCTTACGAACACAGAAAGGAGAAGCTTCCACAAAGCAAACTGGGCCTTTTCTCGCGCTTTGGCCTGACGTAGGCGGGAACGCTTCTGAAGTCTTTCTGGATGTATAGTTGGCTTGATCAAAAGGCACTTGAAGCCATGTGGCTTTTTCGCATTTTACTGCCAGAAAATATGTGTCAAGGGCAGTTGCTTGCATTGTTGCCAGCTGAGAGGCTATCGGCTATCTTTGTTCCCACAACCCTTCTTTGGCCTTTTTCAGAGATGTCGATGGAAGCTTTATTCCGGCCTGATGTTTGCAACACGAACATATGTAAGTTTCAACAAACTTCCAACGTCACATAGATTTGCATGGGTTGGACACTTGGCAGCGGCAGTAATGGCAGCTTGCACAGTCCACAGTCCACTCTCCCATTGGCCTTTGACAACGCACCCTGAAGTTCCTGAAGCAAATCTGCATCTGCAACATGTTTCTGATTGGCAACCTGCATGTGTTTTGTGTATGTGTGCTGGTTGCTACTCTCGACACAAGATGCCACAAGTGCTACAAGTCCGAACAAGTCATGGCCGAAGTCGAGACACGTTGTCGTTAGACGTCGTTGGCTCATTGGATGCATTTTCTTGTCGCGCCGGGTCGCGCCGGGTCGCGCCGGGTCGCGCCGGGTCGCGCCTTGATCTCCTGGTCTTTGCTCTTCAGGAGCTCCTCGAGGTCAGTGACTCGCTGTTGCAGAGCCTGGCGGACCATCCCCTGTGCGCGGCCTGTGCCCCACCCATCCTTGCCCTCCATTACCGCCCCTCTGTGCTGAGGCCTGCTCTCGAGCTCCGGAAGGGCCGGAGACTGGCATCGTCCTTTGTAACAGGATGCGAATGCCAAAACAGACAAATATTATGCACTCAGACTCAGACATGACAGATAAGCGCTTGTATCCGAGAAGTGTCAGAGTGTCTTTTCAATTGTCATTCGATCATGAGAATTCTGTCTGAGTCGTTCTTGCTGACCTTGAACCTGCTTGTGTAGGCGACAGAGGCTCAAAAGTGCCTTAGTGCAAAAAGGGGAAGGGAGCTGCAAAGAGTTCAAATTTCGCACACAACATGCCAGCATCAACTCTCAGCTCCTGACCAAGACTGGAGCCCTTAGAACTGAAATTTTGGCAAAATCTATATAAATACTTTCCACAGGGCGTCCAAGGTTGAGTGAGGAATCAACTCATACCCACTCATAACATGAACAAACGTTCTGGCATCTTCCCAGCAACCCGAGGTTGCGCACATTTCACGCGTTGCAAAGGTTTTTCTACATGTTTGAAACTGTTTGAAACATTTTAAGTTTGCGTTTTCACTAATGTTCTATGTTTTTTTTGCAATTGTCATGGCGCATGTGCTGAGGCCAACGCTGAAGGGCGATGCCCAAGCTGCATGCTGCCCGTTCCCGGGCGCATTTGGCCGAGCTGAGGTTGCGGTGCCATTTGGGGCTGCGCTGGTGGCGCATACCTTAGAGCACAAAGAATGACAGCTGTCAAGAAACTAGAGGAGTCTACGAGGAACGACCCGAAAAGTACCTTTCTACTCTATGCTACTCTACTGTATCAATAGTACCGCGCAAGGCGGTGGCAGACATTTCAAAAATAGGAAACCTATAGGAGATCTCCGGTGTTGTGATGCATGGATGGCAGAGCGAACCCACTGATGGACCGAAAGCTGGCTGAGTCTCTGAGTCTCTCTCTTTCTCTCTCTCGTTCTCTCTCTCTCTCTCTCTCACTCACTCACTCACTCACTCACTCACTCACTCACTCTCTCTCTCCCCAGTTCTTCCTTCTCTCTTTGTTTTTCTTGAAGTGGATTCTGCGAGTTTGGCACCTCGGGAGAACGGCATCCGAAATCAAGTGAAAACAAACGAATCACAAGAGCGGGATGGCTGCAAGCAACATGACAACGTACCACCTTATCAATCCCTTCCCCTCCTGCTGACATTCCTTTTTGTCCCGCTTGCATCTCTCGATCAAAACTTGGAAGAGCTGGAGGGTGGGCGCTTGCTGGTGAGGTCGGTGGGGGTGGACTCCTCGTCGCTGTTGGCTCCGCCACGTCGGAGGCGTGGAGGCCGGCAAAGCGGAGCTTCAGCTCGTCCTCCGTGCTGTACTCTTCGTCGGTCTCGGTCTCTTGCACGAGGATCTCTTGGACTGGCCCGGCCTCTCCGTCGTGCACCTTGAAAATGCTCAACCAGAAGGTCTCTTCCTCGCTGAATGGCAGGCACGGATCTTCTCCGCTGGTGATTTGCAAGCTCTCCACCGCCGAGATCACCGGGAGCTCCGCCGGGAAGAGGGCCTCCTTGGTGGCTTGGTACAAGCCCTGCAGGAGCTTGTAGGCCTCCTGGGCGTCCTTCTTCTGGGCCGCAGGCAGGGTCGGCGATCTTGCCGACTGCGAAGAATTTCTGCAAGACTTCCTGAAAAAATCGAAGTTGACAACATCGAAAACGAAGCAATTCTGCGAGACTTCCGTGAAAAATGGAAAGTTGAGTGCAGACCTGACGGCCTCGTACCAAAGCGTTTTGCGATTATTGCACTCCATCTGTCTGCAGTACTGCGCCTGCCACGAAAATGTGAAGAAGTCAGGTCATACGCTGCACCTGTCACGGTTAACTTAGCAAAGCTGAAGATCTGATGCTCCAAAACGCTACTCCTCCCAGGACGTCAGCGCCCTGAGATCCGAATATCTCTGATATAGATGTCTCTTGTACTGCGCCTGCCCCGCAAAATGCATCTTTGCAGATCCTCTTCAAACGTCCCACGCATACTATCGATTCTGAAAGCTACAGTACAAAACCCTCTATTTTATCATTGTGGTCTTTTTTGGCAAGGTGGGCCGAACATGTTGCTTTTAACATTCTGACTTCAATTCCTTTTCGCGCCTCAGAGGTTGCACTTTTTGAACAGCTCAACTTCCAAAAGTGCTCCGAGAACGGTGTGCTTTTGATATTTTGACTTCGAAACGCGCTTCGCACCACAGTCGCGCGCACCTTTTGAACACCTCAACTTCCAAGAGCGCTCCGAGCATGAGGTGCTTTGGTGTTTTGACTTGGAAGTGTGCTTAGTGCCACAATGGCGTGCGCTTTTTCAACGACTCCACTTCCAAAGTGCTCCGACATGTTGAGTTGGAAATGTGCTTCGCGCCACTACTTTTCGACCCTCCGGAGCCTCAAAAAGTTTTTCTACCTTTTCGCGTGGTTTGATCTTCTTTCTTCTTACTCTCGCTTCTCTGCTTTTCCCATCTCCGATCTTCTTTCTACTTACTCTCTCTTCCCTGACTCTGTCTCTTCTCTATTTATTCTCACAACAGTTGCTGCATCTATGCATAAGTCGGAAGTTTGACTTCTAAACTTCATTCCGATGTACTCATCTAACTCATCTAACTCCATAGGCTGGATAGACTTGCAATTCACTAGCATGACCTGGAAATACTCTGACATGTCTGTTCTGACAAGTACTTGAAAGGCTCGATTACATGCCCAAGCCACCCCTGCATTGAATTTAGAGCGAAGATTTTTTTTAGGATTTTTTTTTGTTTTTTTTGGGGATTTTTTTTGTTTTTGGTTTCCTATTGGTTTTCTTTCATTTTCCATTAGTTTTCCTTCATTTTCCATTAGTTTGCCTTCATTTTCTATTAGGTTTCCTTCATTTTCTACTAGTCTGCATTCATTTTCTATTAGTTTCCCTTCATTTTCCATTACTTTTCCTTCATTTTCCAATAGTTCTTTTATTTTCCATTAGTTTTTGGTTTCCTATTGGTTTTCTTTCATTTTCCATTAGTTTTCCTTCATTTTCCATTAGTTTGCCTTCATGTTCTATTAGGTTTCCTTCATTTTCTACTAGTTTGCATTCATTTTCTATTAGTTTCCCTTCATTTTCCATTACTTTTCCTTCATTTTCCAATAGTTTTCCTTTATTTTCCATTAGTTTCCTTTCATTTTCCATTACTTGTCCTTCATTTTCCATTACTGTTCCTTCATTTTCCAATAGTTGTTCCATTGGTTTTCCATTGGTTTTCTTTCATGTTCCATTTTCCATTAGTTTTCCTTCATGTTCTATCAGTTTTTCTTTATTTTCCAATCGGCTGCTTTCATTTTCCGTTAGTGTTCCTTCATTTTCCCTTAGTTTTCCTTCATTTTCCATTAGTTTGCCTTCATTTTCCATTAGTTTTCCTTCATTTGTTTATTAGTGTTCCTTTATTATTCAATTGTTTATCATTTTCCATTAGTTGTCCTTCGTTTTTTTATTAGTTTTCCTTCATGTTCCATTAGTTTTTCTTCATTACCACTAGTTTCCATGTATTTTCCAATAGTGTGTCTTCATTTTCTATTAGTGTTCCTTTATTTTGCTTTCAATGTTTTTCACATTAGTTTTCTGGCATTTTTTGTCATATGTTTTTCTGTTTTTTTTGCCACTGTTATTCTGATGCTTATTTGTTTGATAAACGTTTGTGTTTGCATATGTTCAAATATGTTCAAACATACACCAAGGCTCGTAACTTCACCCCAAGGATGGCGTTAATCTATATATGTATTGTAAAAAAATGAATAACTATGCGCCATGTATTTATATATGATTGTACATATCGACCAACGTGTGACTATGTGTGACTATATACTTCATTATGTCTTAAATGTGCGCTCACCAAATATATATATATATATTACTTGTACTTTTATTAGTTACCTTTCCTTTTCATTCCAGTTTGCAGTGATGTTGAATGCTAACCTTTTTTATTTTTTCTCAAAGGTTCACAATGCTCAATAGGGAGGTCTGAAGCAGGACTGAAGCATGCCTGAAGCAGTGTGAAATACGTCTAATTAATCTGACTGCCAATTTAAGCTATTTCTTGGGTCGTACCTTGTTTTCAATAATTCCAAATGAAATTAAGTAAGGTCGTATGAAACCCGACATTAGTGTGACGTCGTTGTCCAGGTTGAGGTCGTTGAACACGTTTTTCCTGGCAGCACGCATATGGATCTCTTTGCTAATGACATAAAATGGATGGGCGGTTTTGAGGGTCCGTGTTTGTTAGGTGGACAATATGTATATATATATGTACAATAATTATGTAGATAAGTCATATAATTATGTATATATATATATATACATATATATATAATTCAGAAAAATATATCTTATGTCATATTATGTCCAAGTAGTACGTACATAAATCCATTCGTAAGTATCATGAACCCATTTTCGGTGCTTTAACCCACGAATATATATATACAGTATATATATATATGTACAAAACCTAGGTAGAGATCTCGTAAATAGGTTCATGCATGTTCTTGCAATGTTGCAACTCGAAACAACTCCAAACATTTTTCAACTCTCTTTCCAGCATGCTTTTTCATCTCTCCCCTCTCACCCGGTCGCGCCTCAAAGAGCTCGTTGTCAACAATGCGCGTTGCGAGTTTGCGGGATCGGGTCCAGGTAGGGTTAGATACCTTATGAAATTATATGCAAATCCCCTTAATATCGAAATTCTGCGTCTGCCTCGTTAATTCGGGGGTGACATCGTGATGTCGACTTCAATCGTCCAGATTAATGGACTGATCGCGATTTATCTTTTTGCATTTTTTAACGATACTTCTGCAAACATCCTAATCGTGGCGGAGGCGTTAAGGGGAGTTTGGACGAATAATTATATGTTTCGTACTGGTAGGTCAAGCCCGTGTCATGAAATCTGTGAATCTGTGAAGTTATGCCAAGTTAACAAATGCAAAGACGAGAAAGGCCTCAGAAAGGCTTCCGTTTTGGGAACCGGTTTTTGCAGCTCTGCCCCCGTTGGTATATTGAGGTTTACTATGTTGAGCTTTCACGGCCACAAATGGCCAGAAAAAATGCCAGCTTTGTGGGGTTTCAATGGGTTACATTGAATTACCATGCCTTATCATTAATAGACACAGCCAAATAGTTGGGGATGTACATTGGAGATATTGGGGAATATGGTGGCACACACCCTACCCAGTTAGTTGAGTGGAACCTCAAGCCACGCTCCATCCAGAATCTGGGCCATCGCATGATCTCGCATGCGCACAACGAAGCTGCATCATCTCCATTTTTTTCCCAAACTGATGCCTTGACATCGAACCCCGTAAATTCCCTGAAGATTTCTCAAGGGAAAAGTACAAAAATCTATCCCGAGATCTCATCAACTCTCGTTGTTCAATGTATCCATTTGCCTTCCAGGCGGTAGCAAGAATGATGCTAGCCTTATTTGCCGTAAGGAAAATGTGATGAAATAGTGACGTATCCAAAAACAAAGCTTCCCAATATTGAAGCGGCCGCACTTGAGTTACGACATCGCCAGGCGCAAGTGTGCCCCCTTCACTGCAGCTCTGGCTCACGCAAGTATGGTCCTGCTTTGTGACCACAGGGTACAAGGTAAGTGGTTCAAGAAGTAACTTGGGAACAAAAGAAACGTGTTGTGCATATGCCGAAAACTGACATTGCAATCGCCTTCCAGTAAACTCATCATACCAATACCAGCAATTGGCAATGCGACCTTAGCTTCTTGCAAATGCGTTTCTGTGTTTTTGGGAGGGCGCTGCAATGACATTGCTGAGGTTGGGGGCGGCTTGGTCGAAGAATCCACCTGCCATAGTTCGGTGGGACCTTCATGCGCAGCAATTGCCCTGCTCTGACACTCCATGTTGCATTTGTCATGTTAGTATCTTCTATTTTTCATGTGCTCGGTTCTGACACTTGAGTTTCAAGCAAGTCCATGTGACACGACCTGGCTGCGCAGGATAAAAGGTGACAGGGCACGTGTGGTGTCAAAGCGTTGCGCCAATATATGTGTTCTTCTGTGCTGTACGGAAATGAATAGTGACTAGTATTTCACTCCAATTTTATTGTTCATGTCTGTTTTTGCTCTGTACTGAGGCTCCGATGAAACTCGCTCAATGAAAGGACATACATGGTTTCTGTAGTTTCGGACCGGGCCTGGTGAAGATGACGCTCATTTGCAAATGCCTCGTGTGAGCAGGCAGGCGTGCAGAGACATCGTGCGCGAGGGTCAAGCAGTGCAACTTTGGTTGCATCACTCCATGTTCGTGTGCTCCGTTCTGACACTTGAGCTTCAAGCAAGTCCAGGTGACACGACCTGGCTGCGCAGGATAAAAAGGTGACAGGGCACGTGTGGTGTCAAAGCGTTGCGCCAATATATGTGTTCTTCTGTGCTGTACGGAAATGAATAGTGACTAGTGTTTCACTACAATTTTATTGTTCATGCCTGTTTTTGCTCTGTACTGAGGCTCCGATGGCAGGACATACATGGTTTCTGCAGTTTCGGACCGAGCCTGGTGAAGATGACGATCATTTGTAAATGCCTCGTGTGAGCAGGCAGGTGCGCAGCAAAGGTATCTATATACAAACAAATATACATATATTTGTAAAGCATATATGTATATATATATACACAAAAATGAATATGTACCGATACATAAAAAAATAGAAATGCATATACGCAGACATATACGTATACCTATACCTATACAAGTGTATATATAATATATTATTACATATATATATATAATATATATATATATATAAATTATATTTGTATATACCAATACACACATACATACATACATACATACATACATACATACATACACATACATATACATATACATATACATATACATATACACATACACATACACATACACATACACATACATGCATACATGCATACATGCATACATGCATACATTACATACACATTACAATACAATACATTACATTACATTACATCACATTACATTACATTACGTTACATACATTACATTGCATTACATTACATTACAATACATTACATAACATTACATTACGTTACTTTACATGACATTACATTACATTTACATACATCATACATATCATTATATGTGGTCGGAGTGTGGAAGGCGATGACAGCTGCAGGTTCAAATGCTGGCGGAAAGCTGCATCCATGTTGGCGAGTGTGAGCCGCAAGCGCAGGCCTACATTGGGGCTGCCTTCCCGCACTACATACGTACATACATACATACATACATACATGCATGCATGCATACATACATACATGCATACATGCATACACACTTGAAAGACCGTATCTCGTCTATGAGTCTTTTGATTCCCGATAGGGTATCTGAACTGAGTTCAGAAAGGCCGTCTTTGTCCACTTTGGACAAAAGTCGCAGAAATTGGTAAAAACTGAAAAAACTGAAAAATGCGTAACGGACTCCGATTTCTCGAATTATTCATGCATATGACAAAAGACTAACCGAAAATGCATCAACAAGCTTGAATAATGAGAAAACATCATGACCAACTGCAGGTACGTCAGGGTGATCAGCCCTGATATCCCATCCAAGACCGTAGCTTCGTTGCACACGGTGGGTCAAGGATGCCGTGTGCCCCTGCTTGTAAATTGGGAACTGTAACTAAAAATTGGACATGTGATGAAAGCCCTTCGGAACAGGGGTTGCCCCCACACACAAAGGCCGTATGTCGCCAAAACATAGTATCCGTTGCTTTCAGCAACGGTGATCTTGAAAAAACTGTTCCAGCGAACTTCAAAGTAATTTCATGGCGAAAGTCTGAGAAACGAATCAGGAAGGCATTGCAAAAATGGGCCAACATACAGGCAAGAAATGTAATGACAAAAATACAATGACAAAAATGCACGTCCATGAACAAATCGGGGCAAAACGGACAGCAGCAATACTTACTTGCGCTGGTTGAGTGCTTGATCGACGTCAGGTTGTGAAAAACCTTTTCTGTACATATAAGACGCCCAGCTGCGTCAAGCTACTGGAAATCAAACTGGTCGGATACGTGTATTTTCGAATTAAATGAGCCCGGCTTTTCAATCCACTCATTCTGAGTCGGAGTGACCCCTGCCTGTAAATTGGGAACTGAAACTAAAATTGGACATGTGATGAAAGCCCTTCGGAACAGGGGTTGCCCCCACACACAAAGGCCGTATGTCGCCAAAACATAGTATCCGTTGCTTTCAGCAACGGTGATCTTGAAAAAACTGGTCCCGCAAACTCCAAAGTAATTTCATGGCGGAAGTCTGAGAGGCGAATCAGGAAGGCATTGCAAAAAAGAGCCAACATAGAGGCAAGAAATGTAATGACAGAAATGCAGGTCCATGAAGATATCGGGGCAAAACGGACAGCAGCAATATTTAGTTGCGCTGGTTAAGTGCTTGATCGACGTCAGGTTGTGAAAAACCTTTTCTGTACATATAAGACGCCCAGCTGCGTCAAGCTACTGGAAATCAAACTGGTCGGATACGTGTATTTCTGAATTAAATTAGCCCGGCTTTTCAATCCACTCATTCTGAGTCGGAGTGATCCCTCAGAGACGCAATCTCTAATCTGACGAATGTCAGGTTGAAGATATTCAACAGTGCGTCTTTCAACGTATTATTCGAATTAGATGAGCCCGGATTTTTGAGTCCACTCATTCTGAGACGGGCAGATCCCGCGGATACACAATCTCGAATTTGGTGCACATCGGGTACTGACTCAGGATCAGAAAAAGGAAGCACAAGTGCAGGCAGAAAGCGACAAGTTCACAGGTGGTCAAAAAGCCTCGGATACCGGGTGACCCCCCACTTGAAAGCCGTTTTGTCGCAAACAATCATCGTAACGTGCTGTTTCATCTAGTTGAAAAATACGGTAAGTGGAGAAAACGTCGGATCGATTAAAACTGTTCTGTACATATGCTAATGCGAAAAGGCTAGCTGTGATCAAGCTTGCACAACGAGGAAAAAGGCAGGGCCAGACACTCAATGTGTGAGGCAGGATGAGAACCAACGAAAAACAAGTTCCAGTTCAACTGGACTGCCACTTAAGTCCAAGTCTGTAAAGACTTGAGAAACGGAGGTCTGAAGGTGGTCTTTTCTGTACAATGAGAAACTTATTGTCGAATTATCAACGTATCTGACTACAAGATGATCGAAACAAGGTTGAGTCAAAATTTGAAACGTACTGCTCCACGACCGTTCGTTGTGGTCATGGCCAAATTCGACAGTGTCAAAGATGTCTGACTTCCGACTCCTGCACTTCTAATCTGACGCAAAATCCAAATCAGTGCGGAACAAGCTTGCATAATGGAGAAATCGCAATGGCGAGACATGTCAATGTCTGAAGATGGAAATCCTGTCTGTACATACAGCGGTGCTAATTCATGCAAAAAGTTCGGGTTTGTGACTACGAGTATTGAATTAAATGAGCACGACTTTTGAGCCCGATGCACCATGAGAGTGCAACGAAAACAAGTTCCAGTTCAACTGGACTGCCACTAAAACCCAAGTCTGTAAAGACTTGAGAAACGGAGGTCTGAAGGTGGTTTCTGCTGTACAATGAGAAACCTATTGTCGACGTATCGACGCAGCTGACTACAAGATGTTCGAAACAAGGTTGAATCAAAATTTCCGAAACGTACTGCTCCACGATCGTTCATTGTGGTCACGGCCAAATACGACAGTGTCAAAGAGGTCTAACTTCCGAGTCCTGCACTTCTAATCATTCTAATCTGACGGAAATTCAAATCAGTGCGTAACTAGCTTTCAAACTGGAGAAATGGCAAGGGCCAGGCACTGTCAATGTCTGAAGATGGAAATCCTATCTGTACATATAGCGGTGCTAATTCATGCAAAGAAGTTGGGGTTTGTGACTACGGGTATTGAATTAAATGAGCACGACTTTTGAGCCCGATGCACAGTGAGAATGCAATGAAAACAAGTTCCAGTTCAACTGGACTGCCACTAAAGTCCAAGTCTGTAAAGACTTGACAAACGGAGGTCTGAAGGTGGTCTTTTTTGTGCAATGAGAAACCTATTGTCGACGTATCAATGTATCTGACGACACTACACGATGATCAAAACAAGGTGGAAACATGTTGGTTTTGAAAGATACTGCTACACGATTGTTCAACGTGGCCACTGCCAAATTTGACAGTGTCAAAGATGTCTGACTTCCGATTCTTTCACTTCGGATCTGACGCCAAACGTTCCGGCAGGCTTTGCCACATGAGTGTGAAACAAGCTTGTATAATAGGGAAAAGTCAAAGGTTTCTGCAAGCTTTGCCACATGAATGTGAAACAATCTTGTAAAATGAGGAAATGGCAGGGCCAAACACTGTCAATGTCTGAAGATGGAAATCCTGTCTGTACATACAGCGGTGCTAATTCATGCAAAAAGTTCGGGTTTGTGACTACGAGTATTGAATTAAATGAGCATGGCTTTTTGAGCCCGCTCAAACCAAGACGGAAGGTTCCGGCGGATACAGTGTCCCAAATCTGATGCCTGGCAGTGTGGACATCAGTGTTTGTTCAAGAATTGCAACAAAGAAAACAAAGAAAACACCAAGTCTGTAAAGAATTGAAATTCTTGAGAAATCTGACGCAAAATCCAAATCAGTGCGGAACAAGTTTGCACAATGGAGAAATCGCAATGGCGAGACATGTCAATGTCTGAAGATGGAAATCCTGTCTGTACATACAGCGGTGCTAATTCATGCAAAAAGTTCGGGTTTGTGACTACGAGTATTGAATTAAATGAGCACGACTTTTGAGCCCGATGCACAGTGAGAGTGCAACGAAAACAAGTTCCAGTTCAACTGGACTGCCACTAAAATCCAAGTCTGTAAAGACTTGAGAAACGGAGGTCTGAAGGTGGTCTCTGCTGTACAATGAGAAACCTATTGTCGACGTATCGACGCAGCTGACTACAAGATGTTCGAAACAAGGTTGAATCAAAATTTCCAAAACGTACTGCTCCACGATCGTTCATTGTGGTCACGGCCAAATACGACAGTGTCAAAGAGGTCTATAACTTCCGAGTCCTGCACTTCTAATCTGACGGAAGTTCAAATCAGTGCATAACTAGCTTTCAAAATGGAGAAATGGCAGGGCCATACACTGTCAATGTCTGAAGAATGAATTCTTGTCTGTACATACAGCGGTGCTAATTCATGCAAAGACGTTGGGGTTGGTGACTACGGGTACCTGTGTTGAATTAAATGAGCACGACTTTTGAGCCTGCTCAAGAAATCGGTCGACAAGATCGAAGTGATGATCTGAGCCATTATGGCTTTCAGTCCAATGTCAAGTTTAATTCAATATCGAATGAAAAATCAAGCTGAATGAAATTCAGAAAAACCTGACGGGAGCTTGGGAATCAGATCGCCAAGCAATGCCGCAACGGCTAACCTTGCAAGCTGACAATATTTTTTGTCGTGGTGGCGTCCAATCCGTTTCAGGATTAGAAAATGCAGAATGGTCGTGCAAAGAACGTAGCAAGGATGAGGCAAACAACATGGATAAGAAATAAACTGCAAAAATCGGAAGGAAAAACAACAAAGTGAGAGAAAATCAGAACAACCTGACCGGAGCTTGGGAATCAGATCGCCAAGCAATGCCTGTCAAATAGTGGCTGTGGGTGTTTATCACCCACATGCGGCCACGTTTGTGATGCACGCATCCTTGCGAATTCGGACCGCGGGTGAGGTCAATGCACTCACCCTCTCCGCCATTGTGCACAGTTTTTCCTGTGCCCCAGGCTAGGCCCACAAATATGGCACCGCACTCGTTCTTGCTGAGATTCGTCCCATTATGCAAGATACGACCTAATTCGTGCGCCTCCCACGAGGTGTATCCTACTTTGAATCCCTGAGCAAAGAAACTTTCACTTTCCGCAAAGTGGAGTTTGCTAGGTGCCAGCTTACCTTCTTTGAGAATGGCAACAAAATTACCAAGTTTTGTGGCATGTGTGAAGGCCAGATGAATGATTTCATCGAGGCCTCTGTCTGGTGCCGCTCGTCTTGGTGGCGGTGGCATCCCTTCTGGAAGGTTAGCTCTATTATACAAAACTGAGATCGGCAAAAGGTAAAAATGCTCCATTGGAGCCGGTTGGTCAGATCCCTGATTCGATCCGTAGTAGTTGGGATCATACTTGGCCATTCTCATGGGTCCCAGATCTTGTGACAAAATGTCAGCCTGTGCCAGTAGCTTGGCTACATGTTGCAAAAAGGCTTCAGAAGTGGGATGTTCCTTGACTTGTTGATTCAAAAGGTTTTCAAACAAGGAATACTCATGATCATTTAGTGGAACATGGCCTGTCGGCGTGCTTGAAATCGGAAACGCATTAAAAGGAGCACTGCCTAAAGGCATATTGAAAGATGTATTCGGAGCACTACGAACGGTCTGTGTCACCACCGGACGAGGTGGTGGTGGCGGCGGTGGAGGTCTTTCTTGAAATTGGCCGCTGTGACCGTAAATGTCAAATACTCCAAGTGCAGGTTTCGATGGTCGAACGGATTGAAAATGAGACAGGATTAAGAGACTGAGGGCCAGACAGTTCCTGCACCAGCAGATTGTTCTTGACGGGGAGCCTCCATCTGCTCCTCAGGTTTCGATGGTCGATAGGATTGAAGATGAGACATGCTTAGCTTGACATTCCGGCATAACTGAGGGCCAGACAGTTCCTGCACCACGAGATTGTTCTTGACGGGGAGCCTCCTTCTTCTCCTCAGGTTTCGATGGTCGAACGGATTGAAAATGAATGAAAATGAGACATGCTTGGCTTGACATTCGGGCACTATTTTACACTGCACCTGCGCACAATGGATGTGAATAAACACAGAAACAGAGCGAAGTGACGGTGGATATGGAAGCAGGATTGTTTCCCCGTATGCTCAAACACTGCGTATAGCATTTCTTTGAATGAAGAACCAGACACGGCAACTGAGGCATTGACTGTTGGCGGAGACTCCAAGGCTTCCATCAGGCCGTTTGCTTCTCCAACGGACATCCCAAACACCGTGAAAAAGTCCGACATGGAAAAGCGACGCAAGGCTGCAATGGTGACACTTTGTTCTAGCATCGGTTGGTACAGGTGGCCAAGTGATGCAGACCGAAGCAAGGAACGCAGTTCTTGGTTGTCAGGAGAGGAAGACACTTTCACAGAATCTGAAGAGGAGCGACCAGGCCCAGGCGTTGTGCTGCCAGCTCTTTCTGCATGGACATTGCCGGGGATGATCTGGGGAGGCGAGGCTCGAGAAGCAATGATCTTTGCTTTGGCAGATGGGCGGCCTTTTGGCTTCGGTTTCGGCAACGTACTGGAAGACGATTGGCCCTCATGCTCCATGCAACAGTGCGCATGTTCACATGGACCCCAGAGTGATGCAACATGACAACCATAGCAAAGCCAAAGCCGATGTTTGTTTTGAACAGCAGGAGGTTCATCATGGTATTCTCTCCACAAAGAATCCACAAAGGGGCCAGAGACGACACAACGCCAATCATCCAACGCTTTTGCTGTTCTGTGCCAGCATTTGAAAGACTTGGATTGGCCGTCGTATAAGTCCAAAGCAGATAAGGCTTCGCGTACCTCATGGAGAGAGGCCGCAGTGATCAATGCTGCATAATGCCTGACAGCCTCAGAATCCAAGGGCAGAGGTGAACGAGGCTTGTACACCTTTTTTCCAGTGGATTTCGACCAGTCGGTCTTGAATTTGGATGTGGGAACCAGCATCCAAACGTTCCCATTTTCATCTTGCCACCTCTGATGCTTGCGCCAAGCGAGAAGCGTCTTGCCTGATGTGCGGCCTTCTTTCTTTAACTGGACATCGCCTGCCAAGATATGTTGGTCGAGGAAAGTACCGATTCCAGGCCAGTCTTGGAAGGTTTGTCCATCGTGCTCCATGGCAAGAAGAGTTTGAATCTGCGGCTTGACCACTCGCTCTTCCAGTATTCGAGCAACCTCTCCTGGTTTGCGTGGAATGTTGCCAAAGGCGGCTTTGAGAACAGAGTTGTGCCAAGATTCTTGAGGTGCAGACCCTGCATCTGTCCCTGGCATGATTCTATCTGGTGCAGATCGCCAAGGCGCGTCCCAGCGCTCGACATCTTCTTGCCACATGAAATAGTGACGTTGGAGCTTTCTGATGGTACTTGCTTCGCACAAACCCTCCAAGTCAGCAAAAATTGCATCCCACACCACGTGGAAGAGGAGAGCAGGCCATTGCTTCGAGATCCGGCAGTATTGCAAAATCCACGGCAACACTGACTCTTTGACTGCAGCAGGTAATTCTTTGGTGAGAAGACCCGAAAGTCCAGATGGGCCCTGGGATGTGGCTCCGGTCACATGCGCCCAGTCAGAAAGCCTGATCGACGTTGGAGCAACTCTGCGACGTGCAGCTTCAATTCCTAAATGCATGTCGCCATGCCACTGCAGGACATGATGTGCTTGTAGATCGTGTCCTAAATTTTGGGCCGTTTTGAATAGGGTGCTGCTCATGTGGCTGTACGCTTCTTCATTCTCTTTGTTTGCCAGAGCAAAGCAAAGAGGTACAAACGAGCTACGGAAGCTATAAATGTTCAGGTCTTTTCGTGGGGACCAATTCTTCACATTCACGCCCATGGTGAGAACTGTGTATGAATCAAAGAGCAAACGATAGGTCCCATCCGTGGAAAGCTTCAAATTCCATGGTTTTTGCAATAAGGACAAGGTGAGAGCAATGAGGCGAGGGCAAACCATGGGTACACAGACTTGTTCTGGCGACAAGTGCATGTCCACAACACGGACGTGGGAATCTGATGGCAGTAATGCCGGGCTGTCAGGAAGAAGTGGAACTGGCAAGCCCGCATTGCAACGATCACGGCAAAATTCAAAGTCGCTGCAAGTGTGGGAAGACTTGCTACAGGCAGGTGTTTCTTTTGCTTGTGCTCCGAGCTTTAATCGAGTGCGCCGAATGAATTGAAGCAAACAAGGCCGCTTCAACGGAGGGATGGGAATGTGTGGGTTGGCACGATCCTTGACATTGTCTACGGCAGCAGTCACTGAAATAGTATCACGCTTCTCGCATCTCTTTGCTGCTTGTCTTTGTCGCCACGTCAGTGTTCCATAGAGACGCATTTCATCTGGAGCGTGTGCTTCCGATCTCTGATATCTCAAGTGGAGCTGGTGGCTGCCGTCGGCCAAAGTTGTGATACAGGCCGCGCCTCCCCAGGGACAGCACGAATCAGTTGCTCTGTTCATATGCGTTTTGCATTCAAAAACGCAAGTAGGTCCCTTTTTGGTCGGTTTGCGTGGGTGACAGCGCACCAAAAGGGTATCTTGCAGAGGCTTATCTTCAAAGTGCTTTTCAACTGCCCTCCACATGCTTGTCTGGTCCAAATCACCTGTGTGGGCCAGGCTTTCTGTCACTGTGAAAGCCGCATTGGCAGTTTGGCCTAGTTTACGCCCAGACTTGGCTTTTGGCCTTTTGACTTGACCATGCTTGTTGTTCAGCATGTACGAAGAATGCACCATGAATTCACCAGCTTTGCAGGAGGCCATACCTCTCCAAGAGCATGTATGATGCTGGCAAATGGCGCAGCGGAGCTGGAAGGCACTGCCTTTGTTTCTTTTTACTGAAGTAGCCTTCACTTTGAACGGCTGTCCATGCACTTTTTCATGCTGACCTTGAAGAGCTGCGTTGAGAGCATCTTCTACGTCTTTGCTTGTCAGCGGCTGTGCAGGCACATATACTGGTGTGACCAGCTCTTTTTTTTCCAATTTCCTTTTGCCTTCCTGTGGTTTCTCTTCATCGTCACCAGCCCCGTCCGCTGCAGCTTCTGGACGCTCCCTATGTTGACCCAGCTTGCAGCCACGTTTTCCAGCGCCGGCCATTGCAGGTTCTTCGGCTCGTCGGAGTGTGGAAGGCGATGACAGCTGCAGGTTCAAATGCTGGCGGAAAGCTGCATCCATATTGGCCAGTGTGAGCCGCAAGCGCAAGCCTACATTGGGGCTGCCTTCCCGCACACCCGCATGATGCTGAGCAGCCAAATCAAAAAGACGGCACAAAGCCTGCTGATCGGAACGAAACCCAAGGCGGCGAGGCAAGACAACATTTGCGTCTGTCACGCTGATATGGGTTCGTTCTTGGCAACGTTGCAGGAGAAGACTTAGAGCATGCTCATCAGGACTTTGTGGCGTTCCTGCGTTGGAAGCGGGCTGGGGCGCACGGCGGCGGCCAAGGCGTTCTTCTTCCAGCACAGGAGGGCCTGCTCGTTCGTGCTGGGCGAGCTTCATTTCATTGAAGCAAGTCAAAATGCCAGTAAGCATCAGATGAAGGTGCTCGGGCGCTGCAAGCATCAACTCGGCAGGAACTGGACGGATTGACTGGGGCCAAGCAGCGGAAGAGGCCAGTGCTGAAGATGCAGATGTAGGCTTGCGCAAGGTATCAAGATCAACTTTACCCTGCTTGATGTCCAAAAAGGCCTCTTGCAGCAAATGGCATGCAGTGATGTGTGAAGTGGTTGTAAAGCAATGCTTTCCCACTGCCTCCGCAGCACAAGGGGGTACTGTGCTCTTGTCACGTTCTGCTTGGTGCCGAAATTTGGACCACATGGCAGCAGCCTGCCTTTCGATTGGGATTGGAGAAGAGCTGAAGCCTTTGGAGTCCAAAGTTTGGCCATAGCATGTGCAAAGTCGGGCAAAAATATCCAGTAGGAACCTGGTAGCACCAGCGAACGTGACATGAGGCATGCTTTCATCATGTTCTGGCTGGTCTCTTGGCCATAGATATGTCGGGCGAAATTCCCAGCCCATGCCGCCGAATGGGCAATCTTTCAGAAATGCTTGGCCCCAATAATCATGAATAACTTTTGGTTGCCCGGCATGAAAGAAGGCGAAGTTTGTGGTGGGAACGAAGAATTGTTCGGCATTTATACTCATGGGGCCGTAAGAATTGCCATTCTGCGTGTTTTGCAGAAAGCAGTGCTGTACTTTGCGTTCTGTTTGGGACACTCGACCCTTGCCTCGTGCCCAAGCAACATCCAAGGCGCTCCATGCCTCTTCAGAAAGCCAACACAAATGTCCGTGGGTTGCTTTCATCCTTCTGGCAAAGTCACTGTTAGTGCATTGTTGCACAAACAAGGTTTTATCTTTGCCAGGCCCAGGTAAGACGAAGCACTCCGGAAACAAATCAACCAAGCAAGGTCGAGCAGGATCGTGCGTAACAAAGACAGCATCGACCACTTGACGAAAGAAAGGTGATTTGCCGCAGTTGCTTTCAGCGACCAATGCTATAAACAAGCGCGCTCGAACTTCATGCTCTGGCTTGAGCGGGTTGAAACAGACATGCAAGGACCGATGGCAAAGCCAAGGTGCCATGAGCAATGCAAATCCAAAAGGGAACTCCCTGGCTATACCAGCCTTTTCCGCAAACAGGCAAAGCACAGCCAGGAAAAACGGAAGAAGCTTAACCAAGTGAAGCTGGCTGTTCCAAGCGTCTTGAATGGTGCCCTCAAAATGGAGACTGTCAGCTGCACGCTGTCGCCAAAGCTCTAGCTCATCATCGAAGAGCGCGTCCACTGACAAATCAAAGTGGTCAAGTTGCACCGGCCAGTCGTGTGGCAAGGCATGGAACAGGCTAGCCAAAGCAAATGCGTCGCAGGCATCCGCGCGGAGGTGTTGGGAGTACAGGGTACCGACCGTCCTTTCCAGAATGTCATGCCTGGCGCTCCAAAATCTCCCTATGCGCTCACGAAGCGGCAAAACAGAAACTGATGGTGGAAGATTGCTTGGAAAGGGCACTGGAGACCGGGATCGCCTACGTGTGGGAGAGCAGGCAATGCGACAGGACTCTGCAATGGCACGGGGCAGATCGTCTGGAAATCGTGCAGCTGCCCGTTTTGCTATTTGAATGGAAACCCGCACGGGACACTCTCTTTGAACCTGGAGGGCCTGCGAGCAACTAAAGTCCAGCTCTAGCTCGCTGCAGCTGTCTGCATCCAAGTCAATGCAACCTTGAAGACCAGAAGCAAGATTGAAGCTGGCCCCTTCCATTTTTGGCGTCGGGACATTTTGTCTCGCAGATGGGCCATCCATGCTTGGAGACGTTTCATTTCTGCTTGGAGACTGCTCGGCGATGCTCGAAGATGGTTCCTTCAGTGATAGCTCTGCGCGGCACGCGTAGCCGCAAAGACACACACCAAACATTCCAACACATGAGCAACCATCAGACAGAAAATGCCTGCGAGAAGATCTGTGGTGCCCGGTTTCCAAGGGCGACTGGTGGCGCAAGCAAAGGCACGTACTCAAGCTGAAGCTACGACATGCTTCGCATTCGGTGGCTTGAGTCACAAGATGTGGACCAATTGACGGAATGTCACGGGAAGGCCGAGCGCTTGCAGCAGCAGATCGTGCGGAAGTTTCTTCAATCACCCGATCTTCTACGCGTGACGAAGGAGGCCGGGACCATGACTGCTGGCACAAGCAGATGCAGGTGGTGAAGCCGAAGCTACGACATGCTTCACATTCTGTGGCTTTAGTCACAAGCAGCGAACCAACTGATGGAATATCTTGGGAAGGCTGGGTGCTTCCCGCAGCAGATGGTGCGGCAGCTTCTTCAATCACCCGATCGGGCGCGAACGATGATTCAGGCTGGAAATATCCCATGGGCGATGCAGATGAACGATGCAATGGGTCTAACCAGGTTGCAGGCACCATGCAATCCACAGTGAATGGAATTGTCGGCGAAATGGCGCAGGGCTGTGTCACGGAAGACGCTGGTGAATCCGGCTCTGTTGCAGGGGCAGGAGAGAACGATGGATTTGGCGAAGGTTGCCACGGAAGTGGGGTGACTGGCACGGCACTAGCAAATTCAGACTCATGAGCAGTGCTGCCGCTATCTGAATCCAAATGAACCACGATGCGAACGGATGGAGAACGGGAAGACAGATCAGGAGAGTGCGCAAATCCAAAGAGCTCATTATTGGGCTGTAGATCACGAAGCGGGACAACAGACACTGATGCTGGAAGATTGCTTGGGATTGGCACTGGAGAACGGGATCGCCTACGTGTGGGAGAGCAGGCAATGCGACAGGACTCTGCAATGGCACGGGGCAGATCGTCTGGAAATCGTGCAACTGCCCGTTTTGCTATTTGAATGGAAACCCGCACGGGACACTCTCTTTGAACCTGGAGGGCCTGCGAGCAACTAAAGTCCAGCTCTAGCTCGCTGCAGCTGTCTGCATCCAAGTCGATGCAACCTTGAAGATCAGAAGCAAGATTGAAGCTGGCCCCTTCCATTTTTGGCGTCGGGACATTTTGTCTCGCAGATGGGCCATCCATGCTTGGAGACGTTTCATTTCTGCTTGGAGACTGCGCATTATTAGGGTGCAAATCATGAAGCAGCAGAGCCGAAACTGAGGCTGGAAGATTGGTTGGGAATGGCACTGCAGGCACGCAGAGCTGATAATGCCCAATGTTGGCTGGAGGGACTTGTGTGAAGAGCATGATAGGCGTTGTTGGGAATGCTTTGCGCCACCTGGAAGCAGATGTGAATGGCATGAATTGGTAAGGCAAATCTGGGTGAAAGAAATACACGCCATTCCCAGGACCATGTGCAATGAGCAAGCCAGAAGGGAAATCCTGGCGCAAAGCAATGATTGCAGCAGCGATTTGATGTGTCGAAGTCACTGGCGACAGCAAAGCCCAGGCATGTTGGAGGGACATCCCTTGCGATGCTTGGGCGTGATCCAGCACATTTAGCATCAAGTCAATGATGTTCTTTTTTGTGTGCATGGCAGCGGCAGCCCACCAGCAGTGGCTGGTTGCAAAATTCTCGCATGGTACCAAGTCGAAAGAGGAGAGGAAAGCCTGTGCAGACTTCGGGATGTCAAACGACTTTGCAGCAGATGTTGGATCAACAGAAGGTGGATCAGCATGACAACGGGTGTGCAAAGGAGGCGCTGGACGAGGGGGCGGTGCAGTGAACAGCTTGGCCAGTGACCAACCTTGGCGCCGTTTGTTGCGCCGGACCAGAGAGCGAAGATACGGCGAGTCCAAGTCCAAAACAGCAATGTCGGAGAACAATACACCAGCGACTGGCTTCACTTCTGGCTCGCAAACATAGTTGCTACGAAGCCAGGATGGTCCGAGCCAGACAGTTTGCGACAACCTCAACGGGCAAGGACACCAAAAACGATCGCTTGCGGACAACGATATCAAAACAATACTGACAACGGCAAAAGGTTCGCTGGCGCACGCCAGTTCACTCAGGTCGAGGCAAGGACACGGAAGGCATGCCAGGCAAGAAGGTGCAGCAGGAAACCTGTGATGCGACCTGTTGGACGAGGCATGCGCATCAAACAAATTTAGAACTTAGAATTCAAAAGCTGAGTCCACGGCTTGCAAGACGAGACGATGAGCAGTCGAAACCGCAAAGCTTTTTGAGCCAATCTATTTCTGCGTGCAGCTGCAAAACCTTCATGTCTAAAGCAGGCACCTTGATACACAGGATTAGGCAAACACATGCGCTGGACAAGACTGCGCTGACAAAAACTCTCCGGCAACACATCAATGCCTTCCTCCCTTCGCAGGACGTTTGTTGATGAGTGTGCAGCAATGGTGCGGACGACATGATTTCTCGTTGTGCAACCTCAGACTGTTTATTTTTTGTCAAATATGTTTCAAATTCTATCTCATCAGGAACGCATGTGACAACAACTCTGAGAGATTGACCGGCAGATGATGGATGCTACCTGGGCGATGCACAGATGCTGATGCAAGCTTCATTCAACATCCTTGCGCGACCACCTCTGGAGGTAACCACGCGCTGCAGTGAAGACAATGAAATTGCTGGAGACACAGGTTGCTTTAGAGTCTGCGCAGCGCGACGGGTGCTGATATAAGAGTATACGGTTTTTAGGGAGGGAATGCTGCTGGCATGCATTGTTTTGCGTATCTGTGGAACATAATGATCTCAAGCCAATGCCTGGCAGTGAATTTGACCCCCCCCCACTTCCGATTCGGAAGACACCCATTACAGCACACTGGTAGGACAAGAGTTGCGCTTGTTCAGCTTGCGACCATGAACATGTTTGGTTTCTTCTTCTGCACACCCTTTCCCCGTAGAATCCTAGCATGCAGCTTTGTCATGTCGTACTCCGGTTGCATTTCCACCCGGCAACGGCTTTAAGATCTTGTATATTTGAAAGAGGGTAACAATTGACGGTCCCACACCTGCCACACAAAACGGACTTGAAAATATGAACATTTGCGTCTGTCACGCTGATATGGGTTCGATCTTGGAAACGTTGCAGGAGAAGACTTAAAGCATGTTCATCAGGACTTTATGGCGTTCCTGCGTTGGAAACGGGCTGGGGTGCACGGCGGCGGCCTGCGCAAAGGCGTTCTTCTTCCAGCACAGGAGGGCCTGATCTTGTATAATATATATGGAATTATATACGCAAGGCATTCAGCGCTTCCTTCCACTCTACATGTCGAAAGCTCTGTTGCAACACAACGCACACGCACTGCGCACGCACACACACACATACACAACCATTCAGCTTGGTTCTCAGACGGGGAATCCGGCTGCATCGAAATGAAAGAAAATGTGCCCATTGCCAACAAAAGAAGGCAATGCAGTCATGTTATTTTAAAAAAATGTGTTCATTATTCTTACGCGGCTTACCAACCATATGTTATATCCTCCATCAAATCTGAGCCATGTTGAGCATGGCGCGCACATGACGACAAATGCTTGAAACGATGCTATCTCAAACCTCAGCATCGAAAATAAAACCTTCGGCATGTAAACTCATATTGAATATCATTTTCACAACCCAGAGACGGCATCCCGTCACATACATGCTTACAGGCCGAAAGAACGAACTTGGAAGCCAACAATGCCACACACACACACAATATCCACATGTGATTCCAAAGTTGGTTCCACACTTGAATCCCGTTGATGCAGTAAGTGCTATAGGATATACGGATATACCTGTGGCTCCTCAAACATCAAGATTGGACGTAGTATATACTTCAATCATGCCCCCGCATCTTTGCCGTCGAAACAACCTAACAGATTTGGTGTCCAATTGAATCAAATGCAACAACCATTAACCACACACATCTTCAATTCAAGATTCACGACTGCCCACAAATTCTGGGTTGCCGTGCAGCGTTGCCGCGAGTTGGCATCTCAAGCGGAGGCGGTGGTGGCGGCGGTGGCGGTGCTGAGTGCGCTGAGAGCGCTTCCTTCACCGCATCACCTTCACAGTTGACTCTTGAAGAATGACAGGATAATGTTGCACTGACCAAGCCCCTACCTATCAACCTCTTCAGAGATCTTGGTGCTGGTGGTTCTGGTGGTGTCCTGCCAGAAAGAATTTGGCACCGCTGATTTCGCTAAGCATGCGCTGTGCCTTGATGATTTTTTTATTGTCATGTTATTTCTCTTTCCCCGATCACTAGCTTGAAAATCGATCACGCAACTCCACAGTTGACACACTTTTGCTGCACACTCCCTTCAGTGATTCCTTGTAACACACCTTCGCGTCTCCGGTGACTGCTTCCTCCTACGACATGTTGCAGCTGGAGGGGTATATAAGTGGGGCCGCAGTCAGCACCGTGCGCCCCTTTGAAGATTGCTTCTAATGCGCGTCACACAAATTGTACGTTTATGACTCATTTATGACAATACCTTGCAAAGATTTAAGCACATCAACAAAGATTTAAGCACACGTAGATTTGATACGTTTATGGAAAATACCTTGCACACTTACATCATAGGTACTTATCCATGCATGTATGTATGTCTGTAGGTCGATCGGCAGGCATGTATGTAGTTCAAATATATGTGTGCAATACATATAATATATATATATAAATATACACTAAATTCTTCATCACAACAAACCATATAAACCATACATTCCAAAAGGGGCCACGATAGAAGGAACTCACGGACATGGCGCCCGCGGGCCACCTCGAGTCCTCTGCAGGCTTCACAGCCTTCGCTGCGTTCTTTTTGGTCCTGTGAGAAGCAAGTATGGCGCATGCAGAATATGTTGGCTCTTCAATCATGGTGATGTTTGTGACTTGGCATGAAGATGATGATCGCTTGAAAAGAATCTTGTTGAAAGGTATCGTGGGATTTGGTGTGCCTCTGTGGGGTTCTACAAAGAAAATCTAGCAAATATTTTACATCAAAGGAAAATCGCTGTCGAAGTCTACTTCCATCGGTCTTAAGGCACGAACACGGCCTTCACATAGAGTTCATAATGATTGCCTGTCTTCATTCTGCCTTCTAAATTTACGATAAACACCTGAACTATGACTTGAGGCGCAGGGGGGGATGAACGAAAGCTAAGGGCCATATGAATGTGGAAATATGTGAGCTGAACTTAGAAACATGCAGAGCAGACGACACTCATCCACAGGGAAGGAGTCAAGATGGTTGCAAAGAAGAGGTGTAATGTTCAGCTTTCATTCGTAGAACATGTGAAGCAAAGAGCACGTGGCCCTATCCAGAGCTGTTTTTGGCTGAAATCCTCCACTGTTGATCCAAGGCACCAAGAATTCTATTGGGCCCACTGCCAAATTGTTGGAAGCTCTGGCGAGCTTCGAAAGTGTGAATCAAAGAAGATTGGTACGCGACAAAGTTTGGGCCCCATCCAAAACTATAATTTTTGATGGGGCTCAAATTACACAGTGTTGACCTAAGTTAGAAATAACTTATCGAGCCTAATGTTCTGGTGAGGCATCTTGCGCAAGAGTTCCGTCCGAACAACATGTAATCCGTTGCGAGTTGTAAAACATCTGAGCCAAAGAAAATGATGGTCTATAAAGCTTGGGCCCCATGCAAAATAACAATTTTTGATTGGGCTCAAATCTACACAGTGCTGACCTGAGTGAGAAAGAACTCTATCGAGCCCAATGTTAAGGTGAGGCATCTTCCGCAAGACTTCCATCCGAACAACATGTAGTCCGTTGCAAGTCGTAAAACCTCTGAACCAAAGAAGACGGTGACTCTATAAAGTTTGGGCCCCATCCAAAATATAATTTTTGATGGGGCTCAAATCTAGACAGTTTTGACCTGAATCAGAAAGAATTCTTCTCGGCACATTTCGACTGGCATCAACTGGACAGCACATAAACTCAACGAATCCTGAGCTAGAGAGTTACAGAGGGACAGCAATGGCAGGCCACGCCGCAGCACAGCACAGCCACAACTGGCAACAGCATTTCAGCGAAGTCAGACCGGGCAGCCGCGTTGCAGCTGACCACGCCGCAGCGCAGCACAGCCACAACTGGCACAGCCACAACTGGCAACCGCAGTTCAGCGAAGTCACACCTGTGCAGCCGCGTTGCAGCTGGCCACGCCGCAGCGCAGCACAGCCACAACTTGACACCTGCAGCACAGTTGTGAAGTGACACCTGCAGCACAGTTGCAGCTGGCCACGCCGCAGCGCAGCACAGCCACAACTCGCAACCGCAGTTCAATGAAGTGACACCTGCAGCACAGTTGCAGCTGGCCATGCCGCAGCACAGCACAGCCACAACTGGCAACCACAGTTCAGCGAAGTCACACCTGTGCAGCCGCGTTGCAGCTGGCCACGCCGCAGCGCAGCACAGCCACAACTTGACACCTGCAGCACAGTTGTGAAGTGACACCTGCAGCACAGTTGCAGCTGGCCATGCTGCAGCACAGCACAGCCACAACTGGCAACCGCAGCTCAGCGAAGTCACACCTGTGCAGCCGCGTTGCAGCTGGCCACGCCGCAGCGCAGCACAGCCACAACTTGACACCTGCAGCACAGTTGTGAAGTGACACCTGCAGCACAGTTGCAGCTGGCCATGCCGCAGCACAGCACAGCCACAACTGGCAACCGCAGCTCAGCGAAGTCACACCTGCAGCCGCGTTGCAGCTGGCCACGCCGCAGCGCAGCACAGCCACAACTCTCAACCGCAGTTCAATGAAGTGACACCTGCAGCAGCGTTGCAGCTGAGCACGCCACAGCGCAGCACAGCCACTATGGGCACTGTTCACTGAAGACAACGACAACGAAGATAACACAGAAAACGGCGACAATGACAAGAAAGAAACAACACAAAAACAAATTCACGATTGAATTCAGACAACGTCCAGTAAACAATCAGCATAACATAACAGAAAACATAACCATCCACGCCCTTTCTCTTCCGCTACTGTCTGTCCTGCGTCCCTTCCTCATCGTGAAGATAGATGCTACACTGCTCACGGCAGCTCCACGACAACCCCAAAAACCAAATGCTGCGGTTCACATATATGGCATTTCTGCCACTGCACTTCGTGTTCCTTCAACGGACCTTTCAAAGCTCATGAAGGTCCCAAAACCCAAATGAGGCCAAGTGAAACCAAAGCAACCTTTTTGCATCTAGAATCTATCATTTGGTGGTATCTGCATAAAAGCCAAAACGGCCAAGGCCAAAAACCAATTGAAACCAAAGCCAAAAGCCAAAAGCCAAGCGAAGCCACAGCCACCAGAAGCCAATACACACCAGATCCAGCAAGTGTCCTGAAACAAGGGTTTTCAGTGATGGAAAGGGCTAGTCCGGACACTTGTTGAAAAGAGTTTTAGTTCCTCTCGCACAAGCATGCACAGAAACCCACGAGTAAACGTCTGAGTTTCTTGCAACAATTGCTCAACCCAAATGACATGTGTCAAGTGCACTCCATGCACCATGGGTCACAACATAGCAATTCATGGCCCTGCCGTGGCTATTTACCCTTAAGGGAGGGAATTCACGCGCTGGATGGCGCTACGGTGACGCAACCTCCTCGTGAAAGGTTGCTGCAGCTGACGCTGCTCGGTGGGACCGGACTTCGTGGGCTGGCTACCCCCCGTTCTTCGCATTGGTAGCGGAGCCAGCTGAGCTTCGTGCTCTTGGCTCTGTTCCGCCTTGCTCTGCTCTGGAGCCTGCTGAGCTTCGTGCTCTTGGCTCTGTTCTGCTTTGCTCTGCTCTGGAGCCTGCTGAGCCCTTGTGCTCTTGGCTCTGTGCTGCCTTGGAGCCAGCTGAGCCTTCAGTGCTCTTGGCTTCGTTCTGCCGCGGCCCTTGCTGAGCTAAGGTCCTGTGCAGGCCTTCTGTGCTTTGCCCTGTGCAGGCAATTGGTGACTGGGAACTACATCCTGGACTATGTCTTCAGCGGCGAGTTCAGCTGGTGACACCGCGGTGACCAAGGACAATTATGTGCCCTTGTTCAGCGGTGCTCCGAGTGACTACCGTGAGTGGCGGAAGAGGATCTCCCTGTACATGACCAAGATGAAGCTGCTCAAACGAGAAGCTGAAGGAGTCTTGAACCTGATCTCAAGCCTCACCGGCACAGCCTGGAAGCTGGTGGAAACCTTTCCTCTGGAGGATGTGGAGAAGGCCGACTCCTTCAACAAGGTTCTCAAGCTGCTGGACAAGGCCCTTCGAGTACGACAACCGAGTCCAACTCCCTGGAGACTTTGACAAGTACTTCAGTGGCTTCCAGCGGCATAGCGGCCAGACCTTGCTGGACTACTGTACCCAGCATGACGAGCCCTACAACAGGCTGGCCGACCACAAGGTGACGCTGCCGACCCAAGTGCAGGGATGGCACTTGTTGCGCCGCGCTGGACTGACGCGCGAGCAGCGGCAGCTGGTGCTGACGCAAGCACCCACCTTGGAAAAGAGCAAGGTTCAGGAGACGCTTTTCCTGGTGCTGGGCCAAGACTACAAGACGGTGGCCGGACACTCCAAAGGAGGTCACCGTGGAAAAGGCCGTGGTTATGCAGCCTTCTATGGTGATGATGAAGCCGATCCAGGTCAATGGGATGAGCCCTACAACTATGACGATGACGGCTACTCCGTCTACTATGAGTACGACGAGTACTACACGGAGCACAATGACTCACCGACCCACTATGAGTCTCCCTCGCACCACGGGTACTATGAGGAGGACACCACTGGGTCTGACGATGATGCAGCCTACTATGGTGATGAAGCTCCTCCTGAAGACCCACAAGAGCAAGCTGAGGAGTACGACAGTGCCTTTGCAGCCTATCTTGATGCTCGCAAGCGCTTCAATGACATCAAGCTGGCACGTGGCTACTTGCCCATCGTCGCCCTCAGCGAAGCTGGTGCTGGACTTTCCCCTGGCATTTCGCCAACAGCCTCCCCTTCGTCTTCGCCTGGTCGAGGAAAAGGGAAAGGCAAACCCAAGGGGAAGAACAAGGGCAAGGGTGGTCGCACGACCGTGAAGTACCCACCACGTGGTCCTGGAAAAGCTGACCCTCGTGGACGTGCTCAAGCAGCCCTGGCATCTACGACGTGCCTGAGGTGTGGACAGCAGGGTCACACAACCTACAACTGTCCAGTTCCAAAAGGGAGCCCAAAGAAGAGATCTGCACCAACCGAGTCAGTGTTTGGAGATGAGCATGGACTTGTCATCTTCTTGGATGACCGTGGCCATGAGCGGCCTGACTGCTCTATGCTGGACCCTGGCGCTTCAGCATTTCTGAGCGGCTACGGTCCCTTCAAGCGCTACGTGGAGAAGCTGCGCGAGATGGACTTTGACATCACGCAGCTGGAGTTCATGCGATGCTCACGCACCTTCCACTTTGGAGGTGATGCAAGCTCTCAGTGCCAGTGGACAGTGAAGCTGCCGATGTTCCTGGCTGGCCAGTTTGGCTATGTCCAGATGTACCTCCTTAAGGGAGAAACGCCTATGCTGATGGGACGGCCGATCATGGAGCAACTGGGATTGGTCTTGGACTGCGGCCGACGACGCATCAAGCTTGGCGACATGGACTGGCAGCCCACTGTGGTTGGAGCCCATGGCGAATACCTTTTGCCACTTTTGGATGACTACGACTTGGCTTGGCTGGCTCACCCACCAGCGTTTGAGCTGATTGCCCCAGCCGACACAGAAGCCAACACCACGTCCTTCAAGGAGTTCAACAATATGGAGAACCTGTTTGAGATGGCCCCAATTGAATGTGCTTCAAATGAGGGCATGCGCCCTATGCAGCGCCATCTGCTGGACACTTGTGACGTCCACTTGAATGAGTTGGAGAACAGCCTACATGCCTATGTCACCAACGAGCTGCACAACTCTGGTGACCGACCTCGGGTCTTGTGGGAAGTGTACTGTGGTGAGGCTCGAGTGGCCAAGATCGCCGAAAGCATGGGCATGACTGTGGAATGTTTTGGGCCCAACACTGGATGGGATTTTGATGATCCTGAGCACCAACGTGCCTTTCTGGAACGTCAACGTGATGAGATGCCAGATGAAGTTTACATCAGCCCTGACTGCCGGCTGTGGAGCCAAATGCAGAACCTTGCGGCTCGAACTGAGTCACAGCAGCTGGAGCTCTACAACAAACGAGCTCGACACCACAAGGTGCACTTGAAGTTCGTTGCCCAGATCTACATGGAGCAGGTGGACAATGCCCGACATGCTCACATAGAGCAACCTGAACTTGCTCGCAGTTGGAAGACCACCGCACTCAAAGATCTTCCGGGCTACTTCACGATCTTCCACCAGTGCATGTTTGGCAGCTGCTGCCTCAACCCTGTTGGCTCATGGGAGCTTGTGAAAAAGGCGACAGCCCTTCTGACCTCCAAGGTCACGATGTCAGTGGCGATGAATCGACTTTGTGATGGGCAACACAACCACTGTGCTTTGGAGGGATCTGCAAGCGGCATTGGCCGTAGAACTTCCTACATGGAGAACTACCAGCCCAGCCTTGCGGCAACACTGGCCTCTGCGATCTACGCTCCAGATCCACCTCAACTATGGGAACACGCTATGGCAGTTCCGGAGCAGAAGGAGGTCACTGGTAGACTCATCCAGTTGCAGACCAACCTCAAAGCAGAAGCGGTGCGAACAGTCCAACGGCTACACCGCAACTTGGGGCACCCGAGCCCAGAATCCCTTGTGGAACTTCTTCAAAGTCGAGGTGCTTCAGATGCTGTGGTTGAAGCCGCTCGCTCTTACAAGTGCGTGGCCTGTTTGCGCTACAAGAAGCCCAACAACCCATCACCAGCGACTCTTCGACAACGAGCCACTGAGTTGGGAGAATGTGTTCAAGCCGACGTTCTCTGGCTGAAGATTGGCGAGAACAAGTTTCCAGTTTTGTCTGTGGTCGACACCGCCACCAAGTACCAAGTGGCATCTCTCCTGAAGTCCGAGCGTGGTCCCGACCTGATCAAGGGCCTCGAGCGATGCTGGATCAAGCACTTCGGCATCCCCACCAAACTGGTGACGGACGAAGGGAGAGGATGGTGTGGCACTGAGTTCTCTGAATGGACCACTGACTTTGGTGTCCAACATGAAGTTGCCCCAGGTGAAGCTCACACGCGTTTGTCTGCAGTTGAGCGCCGACACTCTGTCTTGCGCAAAGCGGCCGAGATCTTCATGACTGACCGCAATCTGGACAACACCACTGGAGTCCGAATGGCTCTGACCTACGTGTTGCCCCAGATCAACTCTTCGACAACGGTGGCTGGCTTCAGCCCTATGCAATGGGTCCTGGGCAAGCAGGTGACACTACCTGGTGAACTTTGTGGTGAACGACTTTCACCTGGCCAACTTGACGGATACAACTTTGAGAATGTCCTCAAGAACCGCACTGCCGCCAAGACAGCCTTAGCTCTAGCTGAGGAAGACTCCAAGCTCAGAAGAGCACTACTCCGACAGTATCAAGGCACCAACTTCCCAATCGAAGTTGGACAGCTTTGCCACTTTTGGCGTGATCAGAGGGAGGACAAGCTCACCAAGATCAGATGGCACGGTCCTGCACGTGTGGTGATGCGAGAAGATGATGATCAAGGAGCACCCCACACTTACTGGCTGGCTTGGAAGACACAACTGCTGCGATGTGCACCACATCATGTGCGTGCTGACCTGACGTCCATGGCCAACCAGATCGAGGACGCCAAGGAGGCAAAAAAAGCCGTTGCTGGACTTCGCTCACGTGGT